AAGTGTAGATGGTGAAGTTGAGGTATAGACTAGAGATTGATGGGGTTGATTTATGTCCAAATAATAATAAAAAAAAGAAAATCATTACTGATTATGATTGAGATAATGAAGAAGATATTGAAAAGTTGGGCTACATTTCAATGGTTCAATGTGCCATAATTATATGAATTCAATAGTGAATTTGACCTCCATCTTCTAAAATGTGACAAACAAATATGTAAGCCTGCCCTGATTTGCCATTGTCAACAATAATCGTACAAATTTAACTTTTCAATTTGTTGGCTTGAGGACAAAAAAAGAACTTGATTGGTTTGAAAAAATGAGATATTTTTATTTAAATCATAAAAATTAAATTAATTATAAGATGGAAGTGTTAGTCTATAAAAATTCTATCATATTTAAAACACACTTACACAATTTTATTTTTAAAAAAAAATCACTTACACATATTATTAGGGATGGAACATGGAATAGATGTTAGTGGTGCAAAGTGTTATCCAAATATGCATAGATTGAAAATAAATTTTGTGAGATAAGTGAATGATATAAAGACTCACATCTACGAAAATTATAATTATATGCCTTTCATATATATAAAAAAAGAACTACATAAAAATTATGCAAAATCAATTCAAATGCATCCAAAATAACTATAAAACCGTTAAAAAAAATTTCATTCAATTAAATATTACTAAAGAAAAATAAAAAGTGAAATATAAAAGAGAATTGTGTCATTCAATTTAAATAAAACAAAATATACCATTTGAATTATAAAAATGCTAAAATACTCTTAACACATCTTGTCTAATAAGAAATTTAAATACTTTTAATCCCATATAGTCCCATACTACATGTAGTTTGGAGTAGAAAAGCATTTCTAAATATAATAAAATAGAAAAAAACTTCAATAAGAATACAAGAACTTAGGGAAAATGATTTAACCTTTTTTTTTATTGGTTGTACAATGAGAAGTAATTATTTTTCATCCATTATCTTACTCCACTTGCATATCATGCGAGTCAAATTTAAGATTTCTTATTTCTAATAAAAGGAGATAATCATTGAATTATTTAAATTATTGACATGATTTAACTTATTCTATCTCGAGGTAGACTCACAAAATTGTAGGCTTAGGGGATTTTTGACAAAAAAATTCTTGAGGTTCTTAATTGAATAAAGTGTATAAGTTTGGGATCAACATTTTTTTTTGGGTAAACCCAAAGCAAATCCAAAATCAAGTTTACGGATCAAGAGGCTGTTGAAGCACGAAATTATTTTCTTTCATTTTCTCCCCTTCCAAACAGAGAAATCCGTATGCTCTTCCTCCCTATTGCTATTCTATACCCATCTTCATCTCGCCGACACACAGCAACATGAATCTATATGCCCACGATCTTTCTCTATTTAATTTCGCTAATTTCTCGGATAACCCCATCATCGATGATCAATCATCGAATTCCTTGATCACAACTCATGATGATCTTAGCGATGGTGATTCCAGTACTCAGAGCAATCATCATGGTGTTGTTAGTAAATATTTGGGGTCGAATCGCAAGAGCCCGCCAAAGCACCGCCACGACGGCACGTCACCCCTGCCTCTGGGAATGGACTGGAGCGCTCCTCCTCGAACATGGGTATGTTATCTCCTCTTTATTGTGTCGCTCTTTGCAATTGATAATTGGTGTTTTCATTATCTACAGTTTAGTGGATTCATTTGATTTTATTGGAGTGTTTTAAATCTGAACTATGGCTTCTGTCTATATATAATTAACTGTATGAGCTGACTTCATGGATTCTTGAAGATGTTTATTGCTTTGAATTGTCATTGTGGCAACATGAGGATAGCATAAGGCAAAGACAATACTCTTACCTTTAGTCATAGTGAATGATGAGCTTGTATTTATATTGCTTTTGAAATTTGATATGTGTCTGCTAAATTAAGGGGAATTAAGATTCCTCTTTGTATTAATACAAGATATTGAGCAGGTTTCCCTAGCTAGGACAGCTGCTTTTCTTACCTCATTTTAAGAAAGGAAAATGCTATTGGGTGCTTGCTTCTGAAGAAGGTTTCTTGTTTTCTGTGTTCCTAAATGAATTCTCCACTTAGAATCCTTTTTGGATCAAGAATTCTCCACTTTGTACTGGTGGAAATTTATTGCCATTAAGTGGGTTAAAACCTGTGCCTGAGGCCCAACCAAGCACTATATTGACTCTGGATGTTCTGTGCACATATTCTATCACGGTTGTGCGTTGTTTTTCATTTCATTGTTTGTGTAGCTTTAATCAGGGTCCAACCAAGCCCTGTAGTTTGTAGTTGTCAGCAACTTGAATGGGTGATTAAGAGCAGTAGTTTTAAGTTGCATTGAAGTTATTCAAATTCAATTTGAACACCTATAAAGACCAGATATTTCTTTTTGTAGGATGGGCGGGGGACTGTTTGGCCTCATGATCCTCATACAGGATGGAGTTACTGTGTTACCATTCCTTCATGGACTATTTTGTCCATATCCAGAGGTTCAGATCGTTCAGATAATGTGCCGGTACTACTATTTTACTTTCATTTATTTACTTCTTTGAGACTTGTTAACTTATTATTTGGACTATCACAATTGCTTATTCATGTAACCAATATATATGTTAATTTCTGTTCACTTTTTCATTAGATACTTTAAGACATTTTTGTTTTGCCACCATTAGAGCTAAAGGCAATGAACAATATGAAATGGTCATCATGTGGTTTGTCCCCAACTTACTGTTCTGTTCTAGCAACATTCATGACTTTTATTCACCATACTGTCTGCTGCCCCATGGTTTTGATCAGTTATTCACTAAGGCCTTCATTCTTCTATTATTTTTAAGAGCAACATTTTTTCCTCTGGTATATAAAAGTAAACATTCCAACCTTCTTGGGTGTTTCCTCCTTTGCTGACTTGAACTTAACCTTTCAACCTTCTTGGGTGTTTTGAATTCTCATTTTCTCTCGAGGAGGATGCTAACATGGTCACAGTGGTAAACATTTATAATTGTCATATATATCTTTGGCTATTTAAGTTAGAGTCTTGTGGAGTACGTTCTGCCATCTTGGTGACTTGTCATTATAGTTCTTACTATTTTATCTGGTTCTACTTGATATGTAGTAAATAAATGTTGCTTCATTTATTTTCTAACATTCATTGAGGACAGTTCTACAGAGTGCAAGTTGGAATTCAATCACCAGAAGGGATAACTACCATCCGAGGAATATTACGAAGATTCAGTGATTTCTTAAAGCTATTGTCTGAAGTAAGTTTTCACACTCTATTTGTATTACTCTAAGACTTTATACTACATTTTCATGCATATCTCCTTTGCTCCCTTTTCACCATCTTTTCATTAATAAATAAATTAACAAATAGATTTGGCAATAAAGTACTTCGTCAATTCACAAGATGGTAATTTTCCATTGAATTCATTATAATTAATTTTTTTTCCTCTGTTGGCAGCTTAAAAAGGCATTTCCTAGGAAGAATTTGCCTCCAGCTCCTCCAAGGAGGACAATTCTGAGAACAAAAAGTCAGGAGGCATTGGAGGAGGTAGGTAACAATTTTCATACAGTTCTTCTTCTTTTCCTGCTGTGAAATCTAGAGAAGTTACAGATGCTTTACTACTGGATGTTTGATAACAATTAATTCTGTTGATTATGTGGCATGTTATCTCTTGAAATATTCTAAGAGTCTCTCTCTCATTTTATTTAGTGATGTGGAATATCTTCATAGTTTATCAACTATGCTCTCTTTATTTTATTTTTTATTTTTATTGTTAGTTCTTTCCTTAGGTCATATTAAATTCATCTAAAATGAACTTTATATCATGTCTAAAAATGATGTCAATTGCAACCTGAGGAATGTATTCACTTGTTGACTGATGAACACTGGCAATATATCAATATTGTCTGTATTATCTTGCTTTGTAGTTGTTCATTGTGCAATTCCAAATAGAAGTGTTCACTACATGCATGCACAGAGATTATGTTAACATTAATTGTAATAAAGTTCTCAAAATGGTTAGTTTATTGCAGCGAAGGTGTTCCTTGGAGGATTGGATGGAAAAGCTATTATCAGATATTGATATATCTAGAAGTGCCCCTGTGGCAATGTTTCTTGAGCTAGAAGCTGCTGTCAGGTCTTGTAGGTGTTTCCTTGATGCATTTTTTAAATGAAATATATATTTAGTGTTTTTCTGATAGTCAGCTGTAGGCTATTAGTTATTTACTCTGTGGAACTTAATTGGTTCTTTTGTTCTTATGGTTTCCAGCATTTGATGATGTGAATCAGTTAGACACAGTATCTTCTCTTAGTGGTTTGGTGCCTTCATTTTTGTCCCACTCCAATTCAGATGTTTCTGTCATTGCTGGTGGTTCAACAGTCGCTTCAGAACATGATAATGATTCTAGTGAGGGGATATCTGAACTTGGAACAACGTGGCAAGGGAGAGAGAGTTCCGCTGAACCCGGCATGGAAAATTCAACCCCTGAACCAAATTTGATTGATTCATTAGATATGACCATGAGGTATGGCATACTTAACAAGAATATTTTTCCAGAGAACCTAGAAGGATTTTCCAGGCGTAAAATACTTTCTGGAAGGGAAAGCAATATCACAAAACGAGACAAACAAACTGACATTACTATGAAAAGAAGCTCCCTTATTGGGGATGGAACTGATCAGTTGCCTGAAATAGAACATGGCAGAATAGGTGGCCATTTTCGTAGACTGTCAACAGAGAGTGTTGAAAGTGACCTAAGTTCTATGCAAGCTAGTGAATCAAACTCAGTAGTAGCTAATTTGTTGGGCGACAGGTCCCCTGACTGTCCTGAAAATTATATACAGTTCCAGGGAGACTTACTTGTTCTTCTATCAGATGAGCGCCATAAATTGAAAAGGGTTCTTAATACCACACAGAGGAGACTGGCTACAGCTAAAACAGACATGGAAGATCTTATAGCAAGATTGAATCAAGAAGTAGCAGTGAAACAATTTCTGACAACAAAGGTACATTTATTTCTTTGAGCCATTTTTGGTTTTTATTTGCATTATTTGCTAAACTTCCCATGTATTGTATGTAATGGAGAATATAAAGTCACCTGCAATGCACAGTTGGATAATCAGGATGCATGGCTGAAGACCATGTTGTGGATGTAACTGTCTTAGGAAGAATTTTCTCTTGTAGGTCAAGGATTTGGAAGTGGAACTTGAAACCACTGTAGAAAATTGTAAAGAGAACATTGAGCAAGCAGTTTTCAATGAAAGAGAAAGATTTACTCAAATGCAGTGGGATATGGAGGAACTTCGTAAGCAGTGCCTGGAGATTGAACTAAAACTGAAGGCCGAACAGGTTTCATTACTGTTGTTAATATTTCATCTTTTGCTCCATTATCAATTAGATGTAATATTACTCAACAAGTGCAAATTTTTTTCAGGATGAAAAGGCACGTCTTGAGTTAGCAAAGTTATCACTGATTCAGGAGAATGAAATGTTGTTACAAGAGTTAGATGTTGCCCGAGAGCTGTTTGAGAACTTACATAAACACCATGAAGAGTTGGAGGTGAAATCCAAAGCAGAGGTAAAGCTCCTCATTAAAGAGGTAAAATCTCTTCGAAATTCACAATCCGAATTGAAGCAGGAGCTTGGCCGCATGATGAAAGAAAAACTAGAATTAGAGGTAATGTGGTCACCTAACAATTGCTGCTTTAATTTTTCACTCCAAGCAAATTTTAGCATTATGTATGGACTATGGAGCCATAACATAAAAATAATAATCAAGTGAAGTGCATATCAAGCTACTTGCTGTTAATTTAATGCTATACTGGTCAATTTCTCACCAAAAAATGGAGTTCTGTTAATCTTTGATGTTCTTAAATTTTCTGTTTTTCATTTGTGTTGTAAGATTAGCATTTCACAGATTCCTTTGTGATGATAAATTTGTTATTTAATAGTTTCTTTCCTTTTTTTATAGACCTGTTTCTTTAAAGAAGACAAATAAATGGAAGGTCCTTTTAGTTCAATTGATGATGGTTGTACAATTTTCCAGTTTTATTCATCAATGTCTATAATCAATATTGGTAGTGAAATTGCATGTAGATCTTTATGATTTTTTTTCTATGTAACCCCAAGAAAGATGGAAAGTAAGAAAAATGTGAAAAAAAGACATTTTCTATCAGGCTTCTGGTGATATTTAACTTAGTGCCTTGTCTTTAACTTAGTGCCTTGTCTTTAAGTCTGAGTAGGATTTAAGAATGCTTAATGGCAACCCTCCCATACTGTTGATATATAAGGTAGTAAATATCAATCTTTTTCTAGTTATTCAAGAGTAGACATCAGTTGTTACCATATGAAAAGTCAGAGATTGAGGTCCATAACCTTCTGTCACTCCCACTCAAACAAACTTGAACTTATGGGTTATTCATAATCATTATTGGCATCTGTGGAGAACCTTGTCACTGTATTTTCTGTCATTGCTAATATGAATTTCCTTAATTTTTGAAAAAAAAAAAATCAAATATGAAAGAAAATTGGAAAGGAGTACTAAAAAAATGAAGTGACTAAATCTGTTGCTTGTGCTTCCTTCTGTTTCTTTCATTTTAAACTGATTAATTGACAGTTGCAGATTATTTTTGTGTCAACAAGTTTACCAAATTTGGTAGGTAATTATGTTGATTCTGAACTGTTGTATTTGTATTTTTAGAGGTTCCTTCAAAAGGAAAAGCAGAGAACAGAGCTTAGCAATTCTGCTAATGAAAAATTGCTGCATGAATGTGAAATTCTTCACAACCGGCTTCTAGAATGTAGTGTTAATTTTCTTGTAGAGGAGGAAGATAAGTTAATTGTGGACACTTCATCTCCATCGGATGCCATTGATCTCTTAACAACATCAGATAATCGAATTGGCCTCCTCCTTGCTGAGGTACCTTTTGCACTTGAGATTGCTTTTATTTATTGTTTATAACAATGACTTTTGCAATTGGTTCTTTCAGTTGTTGCATTGTTTAAAAAGTTCTTCATTGATTATGATGCTTGTCACGATATTATTGCGTACCCGCATGCATCATGCTTTTATGCCTATACGCTACTCTTTATTTGTTTACATCATAAGATTAGTTTTCATTGAATTAATCAGATGCATGATATTGCACGATCAATTCATCCATTAGCCAACTAGTGATATACTTGGCAGTGTTTGGTTCCGAGCGGTAACTTCCCCCTTACCAGGAAAATGCATGGTTATTTTGGTATTTATACACCTTGATACTAATAACAAATAAAGTTGACATTTTTAGCTCATTTTTGCCTTTGACACAACCTCCAAAGTCCAATTAGAAAGGTAAAAACTTTTCCCTCGACTCTCCCGCTGTGGACCCACTTGGCACAATATTTTCTGCAAAAGGGTTATATCAATTTCCTACCAAACCACAAAAAGTTAACAACCCTGTCAATTTATCCAGTCTCTTACACAATTCTCATTACTTCACCAAGTTCTCTTCCTATCCCTAGGATAATATGGTTCCCCAAGATGGCTAACTTGACTTGTGGAATGAAGAATACATCTTCACACCCTCTTCATTGCCTGCCAGATTTTTTTTTAGTTTTATACATAAAAGCCTAGGACAAAGTTGAGGACATACTCCTCATGGCAACAAGGATCATGCAGGGCATGCTTTCCTGCAACAGTGTAGACACAAATCAACATAGAAAAAGTTATGCAGTGATATATAAAGCTAGTTTATATCCTACCTTATTTTACAATGGAGTTACACACAATAATATTAGGTGGATTAAGTGCAGTTTCATTCATGTATGTAGTGCCTTTCTCTATAAAAGTTTCTTTTCATATTTCTTTGAAATTACGCGGTATCTAAATTCCTGGCTTTTGTTTGCTCATGTACAGGCACAGCTCCTTGCCCAAGATGTGGAAAATTCTGTGGCAGGATTTGATGAGAATCTTGATGTAAATGGCAGTGACCGAAGAACTGACAATGAACTCAGAAAGATGTTAACGAATATTGTTGTTGATAATGCAACATTGAGGAAGCAGGTCAACTCAGTTATGCGCTGCACTCTCCACCCTTATGTGAAGTCTGATAAAGATGATGGTGATGATGAAGAAGAAGAAGAAGACGAAGAAGAAGAGGAAGCTCCATTGAGAAAAACTGTTCTAAGCAAGTTCTTAGAAAGATAGGATACTAATTCACATTCGTTTGTTTCTAAAATCGTGGCTAGTACTTTTGCTCCGGTTGGCGATATAGTACAGTTTGCACATAATCTTCTTGTTTGTTGTGTAAAATGAATGGAACCATATTTTATTTATCATATCATTTAATTCTGAAATAAATTTACTATTTTTGGAAGCTTGAGCTGGCAAATTAGAAAGTAAACCAGCTCTTTAGCTGACCTTGTAATCAGCAAGGCATTCTTAGGGCCTTCTTATTGTTTTCAAAAAGGTCCAATGTGGAAATTGAATGTGGTGCCATGAAACTGAATTGAGAAAGTCTGATGACTCTGATCTCCAGGCTTATTTTGCATGCTGGTTGTTCATTACTTTATCCAACAAAAATTGTGTGGTAAAACAACTGTGGCCAAGGCAACGATGGAATTTATATAAATTTTGTTGACTTGTTTGTTGTCTACAAAAGAACTTTGTTGCCAAATTCTCCGTACAATTCTCATGTACTGCTTCTTAGACTCCTCTTCCCTTCTTCTAGAAGAGTTTTTCTTAGCATTATATGGCTTCCAATTCTTCTATCTAAATTTACAAATGCAATGAGTCAACAACCTTTTTCCTTTCTTGGTAAGAACAACCTTTTTCCTTTCTTCGCCTATTATTACGAACACAGACTTGCCACTTAAAAACTTCTTGTTAGTGACTTGTTGATTTTTAAAACTTCTTGTCGGTAACTTTCTTGATTTGAATAAAAAAAATTTAATTGTTTTTCAATAAAATTTCAAATTTATATCTTATGAATAAAAAAATAAACATTAAAAAAACTTGCTTATGAGAGGTTCAACTTGAGTCGACTTCAAATTAATTGAATTTAATGTGACTTTTAAATACTGAAAATTAATAATAATAAAAAAAAAAAACCCTTCTTATTCCAGATACAGAAAACATTCAAGAAATCATTTTCTACCAATCAAATCAAGGACTAGAAGATGTTCCCTCCTTGGAGGATTATTTAAGGCTTAAATACCCCCCTCCATACTCAGGTATGCTTTCCATATGGTTACATGAGACGCAGAAGAAAAAATACTATCACTTTACTCTTTTCTACACCGAAAAAATCTTTGGTTTGATGACCTAAAGCTCATTTCCATTCTCGTAAATTTGTGAAATAGATTTCCTTCAATCTAAATACTTACAGAAGGGCAAACAAAAATTAGATTCGGTGTAAAATCTACATGTTACAAGAAATGTAAAAAGTAAAAATAAAGTCTAATAAAAATGCATTCTGCAAGGAATAAATTTTTGGATAACAATTCTGCTGCCTTGCCTGAATTTAACTTCATTGAACTGAGTTGTTTTGGGGATAAATTACTTGTCACCACCTCCAAACATCCCCATCATGTCTTTTGCAGATCCCATTTGCTTCATCAAGCTTTGCAAGCCACCCATGCCACCAATCTGCTTCAGCACCTGTGGGGGCAAGACTTTGCTCATATGCTGTGCATTCATATTGCGGGACAAGGCACTCATTTCACCCTTCTTGGGAATCTTAAGCCCCTTCATCTTGCTCCATATCTTGGCAAGGCGCTTATATTCTTCCAACATTTCCATTACCTCTATAATTTGACGACCAGATCCCCGTGCTATCCGCCTGATCCTTGATTCATTCATGAGCTTAGGATTTGAACTATCCAACTCTGCAACAAATTGTGAAGTAGCATCAACGAACTATAATCTTTAGAGCATTAAGGAACTACAATTTTTAAGAGCCAGTAACACGTAAAACACTCTAGAAATGAATAAAATAACATTCACTTGCCTTCATTTGTCATTGAATCCATCATGGTCATGTAGCGTTTGATTTTTGCCTGGCTTTCTTTTTCACGACCTTTCGGCATTAATTCCGCACTAAATCCAGGAAGCATTGAGAAAACCTACAGAAAACCAGCCAAGGATATTATCACCAACAACTTGAATTTCAACAAGAAAATCCATGATAATAGCCACTGGAAAAATTATAGAAAAAGTAGCAGGGTGGAGGGCTGATTAGAAAAAGTAGGAGGGAGAGATTATACATTTCAGTGACCTAATGGAATGATCTAAAATTAATTTAATTAACAGAGGAGCAAAAAATTTAAGCCTAGTGAATCAGTGATAGACACATTAGAGCATGTGGCATAGCTTGCACAAACAAAGTCTTGTATTGAACATAACATAAATTTAAAATCAAGAAAGAAAGGAGAAAAGAAAATTATAAAATTCAAAATATACCTAGGATTTGAAAATGATTCAATAAGTTACCTGCAACACAAAGTAACCTCTGGATGACCTAATACTAAGACATCCACATAACCAAGAACATAGAAATAGAAAACCATAACACACAAGAAGGCACAGAGACTGAAATTTATTTATCAAAAAGGGGAAGAAAAAAGAAAGACTAGAGTATAGAAAGGCTCAAACAGAAAGTCAAAACAACCTGGCCAATTGGACCCATTTTGAGAATGTTCTGAAATTGCTCATACATGATCCTCAATGTAAAGTTCCCTTCTGAAAGTTTTTGGAGGAGCTCAGGTTGTTGATCCATAGGAACAACTTCCTGAATTTTGTCCATGAATCCAGACCAGTCACCCATGCCTAATTAGAGAGTCAAGCACAACATTAATGATCAATTTTTAAAATAATTTTAAGCATTCTGTAGCTCATAATTTTCATAGTCAGAAGATGAAATGCAAGAGACTGTCAAAAAACCAAAAGATGGAATGCAAGAGTATGAATATCAAAAAATCAAGAGATGGAATGCAAGAGTATTAAAACAAAAAGGCAGTGGGAAATACCTAAGAGACGGCTTACAAATGATTTGACATCAAAAACTTCAAACTCATCCATGTGTTCTCCAGTTCCAATAAATATGACGGGACTCTTTGTGGCAGCAACCCTGAAAGAAACCACAAAAAGAAAACAGTGAAACAGCAGAAATTTTAGCCAACGTTAGATAGTTGCAATGAAAACTGCTAGAGCACAAAATGTGATCTTATTGTCAACCATAGCAATACATACACTTATAATAAGAAATACTGTAGTATCACCAACAAGAGCTTAGTGAGTTGGTACCCACTAACTTCAAAATCTTAATTCTTGGGTTAAGGCCAGGGGTTCAAACCCCTGTCATAACTAAGCAATAGCTTATTTGCTGATAAAAAAGGTATAGCATCCAATAATTGCATGAATAACTGGCCTGCACTACATTTATGAAAGAAAATGCAAATACCAGCTTGACTATACTGAAAATGAAGAACGTTACAGCAATTACAAGAACACTCACGCACTAAGAGCGCCGCCACCCTTGGCATGCCCATCCATTTTGGTAACAATCACAGCTCCAACTTTAACACTCTGTTTGAATGCTCGAGCTTGATCAAATGCAGCTTGACCAATACTACTATCCATAACAAATATAACAAGATCTGGTTTCTGAAAAAGGAAGAGGAAATGGATAAGCAGTAAATAGTAATGAGACATAGACATCAGCAGCATTCTATAATCAGCAGCATGAAAAGTAAAGCAAAATAAAATCAGTACAATACCGTTGCTTCATCAACTTGACGCATTTCTTCAAAAAGGGCAGCTTCTTGTTTGTGGCGACCACTGGTATCAACAATTATAAGATCACAGTTCTCCTTCTTGAATCTCTCCACACCTTCTACAGCAATTTTCACAGGATCTGATTCCATATAGCTGCAGATGAACCCCATGTCAAATAAGAGTGGACATCAAATAAAAAATTGATTAGAGAAGAATATTCTCAGAGATTCAACTCTAACTGTACCAAAGGATATATAATTAGATAATCAAAGAGATATATTCTCAAAATCAAACTAATTTCTTGAAGAGTAAACATTTTAAACATGCATATGATTATAAGACAAAGATAAAAGCATGTGCAAATTGCACATGAAGTCAGGAGAAATAAAGAACCTATAGAAGTGCTAAGTTACCATGTGCAGTTATAATGAGATAAATCATGTGAAAATGTACCTTCCGTAAAATGGAATCTTAGCTTTGGTGGCATTCTGCTTCAACTGATCAAAAGCACCAGCTCTGAAAGTATCTGCACAGACTAGAGCTGGTTTCCAACCTTTCTTCTGATGATAATATGCATATTTTGTGCATGTTGTTGTTTTCCCAGACCCTGCAAAATTTTTAAATATTATGCAAGCCAAAAAAATAAAAATAAAATAAAATAAAATAAAATCAGATATATTATGAATTAAAATAAAATAATCCAATCTAGATTCAGAATAAAGAAAAGGAAAGATACCCTGTAAGCCGACAAACATGACAACACTTGTTTTCCCCTTTTTGGGGGTGAAAGATGGCTTCCCAGGATCCAACATTTTACACAGCTCATTAAATATGGCCTACAAATAAGAATTAGAGCAACCCTTTTAGAATGGGCATAGAGCACCAACAGATAAAACTTGAAGATTATTCTTAACCCAGTTAAATAGAGAAATTCACTAGGTTGTGTTTGTGTGAAGGGTTCTAAACAAGGATTTCATATGACTATATGAAAGACCAAATTTTAAATTCCTTTTCTAGATGACATGTCAAACATTTTTTGGGTTTATACAAAAACTTATCATTTTAAAATACCAGTTGAAGGTGGTTTTTTGATATCCCTTCTACAAATCCCATTTTCCTCCAACTAAACTATAATATATCTCCCTCCTTGAAAAAAAAAAAAAAAAGAGTCATTTAAAAAAAAAGAAATTGAAATTCCTTCCATCATATTTTCTTCTTATGAAATCCCACATTAGAATCCTTTATCCAAACATGGAGAAACAGAAAGTGTTGAAGGTTTAATGGCAGGTTATAAGAACATAAAACATCCCATAAAGGAAATCAGCAATGTACGATAAAATCTACGTATCAAGTCAAATTAAGTCAAAGTTGAACCTTTCCTTGGTTGAATTTTGGGACCAAAAAATAAAAAGAAAAAGAAAAAAATAAAATAAAATCTGACTATTTTATGCCAATAGGAGGATTAAAATCATTAACTAAATACATGCTAAGTTCATGAAACAGAACCAAAATTTCAAAGCAATAACCCTAAAAATCTGGATCATCTTAAAGAGTTCTTCTTTCATAATTCTCAAAGCAAATAAATAATAATAATAATAATATAACAGAGAGCCATTCATCTAAATTCTTCACACTCAAAATAAAAAAAATAAAAAAAAAAACATGAAAAATAAGAGCAAGCAAACCATAAATATAATGAAATTATTGAATTATTACTTGCTGGATAATCCTTCGCTTGTTGTGGCCTGCGGCGAGATCGTCAAGATTGACGATTTTCTTGATGTTGGTCTGCATCTCACGGACTAGCTGGAACTGAACATCGGCCTGGAGAAGAGCACGCGTGATCTCGTTGAGGCAGTCGTTCAAAACCTTCTCGTCGATTATGGTGGCATTACTCATCTGCTGGATCGCCCGGGATATGCTCCCTCCTAACTGAGCCAACACCATTTTCGCTGATTTCCGAAAAAAAAACCGACGACTGAATCGGAGATTGGATTTGCTTCCGATGAGGAATTAGGGTTAGGGTGTGAGGGAATCTGATTTGCAGGTGGAAGGGAGAAGGATGATCATTTTGGTATTGATAGCGTCTACCGCACTTGTTTAGGAGAATAAAATTAAAATTGAGCCCTTGAACAACTTTTGCTTTTAATATTTTGCCTACCAACTTATCTTTTTTTTTAAAATAAGTCCCTCCTCAAGATGCGTTTTTAACTGCATCGCCTTTTCTGCCACACACGAGAAATGGTGGCTTCCGCAGCAGGAAGTGGAGCGGTGAAGCTCTGCTACTCATCTCTGAATTCGCGGCGGTTAGGCCCGGCGAAGAAGCTCAATGGGACGATTAAGTTTCTCGTTGACAGCCGTAATTGCTCCTCATCCTCCATGGTTGAACGTTCTTTTCCGATCCATGCTATCGACTCGCAAAGGGAAGAAGAAAATCCGAGTTTGGAAGATTCTGGTGGTTCTTTCATCTCTCAGGTCAGTTGTAGAATGATTTCAATGTGGGAATTATGAGGAAAGGAAATTCTTTGTTTTTCATATTTTCAATTGGGTTCTGATGCAGTTCTAATTTCTATGAATCGTTTTTTTTTCTGCTGGATGAACATTGGTTGATATGCAAATTTGTAGAAAATATATATTTTTTTATTAAAAGTTATTAGACCAAGACGGATTTTTTGGGGCATTAGGATGAACAAGTAGAAAATTAGGATGTGGGAATTGAACTTACCTGCAATTGGAGTAATTCCCTGGAATTGGATTGGTCTGCTTTTGTATTGTGGAAAAAATTGTTAAGCAACTAAGAGCCATATGATGTGTCTTCAAATAGCATGGCAATATATTCTCAAAAAAAAAAAAAAGAAAAAAAAAGGGGGAAGAATAAGAAGAAGAAGCATAGCAATATAGTATGCTAGGAAAACAGCTAATATTCGTGATGTCATTGGCAGCATGGTTAGGGATAGAATTAAGGAAAATGACTGAGTTGAAATTCTTGTAGTATGAATGGGCATCTTTTCAGTGAGTGAAACTAAAAATAGACTTGGAATCCATGACATATGAAGCTATGTTTGTGGGGAAATGGTTAAAATGTACCATTTAGACTCACTATTTAGCTTGAGGTCCTGTGTACTTGAATTGTTTAAAAGCAATGGTGCATTGCATAAAGAAACAAGTGAATAGGGTTTCCGTAAGTGATGGGTATTCCTAATATCAACTAGATATCAACAGAACTAACATGGCAAACGCTGATGATGCGAAATGATTGCCTATATGGACTTGTGCTTTGTTATCATCTACTAAGCCTGTGATTCAGTTTTCTGGTAAAAACTTGATATCCCATTCCCCGAGTCTTTACCTCTTAAAGTTGTTGCTGGTATGTAGTTATATCTTCTGCCTGAACATCAACTGGCTAATAATTATCTTCTCCATACTCATAATGGACTACGGGCTAGTGATGAAGTTTTTTCCAGCCACATCACCCTTTAAATGAGCATGGTGCACTCAGGTGTGATGAAGTTGTGAGCCTTGAGCTCAACATCACATTGGCCAACCCGGGAAAGGGTTTGAATGTTAACGTTTTGTAAAAGTAAACCGGAGTTTGCTAATTGTCGCTGCAATTCTTTGCTGTAAACAGGAGGATTTGAAATATTTGGGGAAATTAGGAGCTGGATCTGTGATAGGTGCGGCTGTGATAAAGTATGGAAGCATCATTTTCCCTGAGATTACCCGACCAAATATATTACAAGCTCTGATTATGGTATCAACTCCTGTTGTCATTGCTGTTTTCCTGTTGATCAGTAAAAGTCGCACCAAGTCAGACTAAGAGCGCTTTGTATCATTCTCTATCTTTTTCTGTAAGAAGAAGAACTATTATGTAGTACATATGCACAATTTTTGCAAAGAATTTGTAATAAATTTCCGTAGAAGCAAGGTATTTGCACCAGCCTGCCATCAGCCGGTGTTGTGTCTTTCTGAGTTAAAAAAATTTCTTACTTCACCACAGCAAGACTTAAAAAACACAACTATAGGAAATCCATGAAAAAACTTGTGGTGCGGACTTCTAAAGGTACACTTTTTAAAGGGGCTACAGGATCTGTTTTGCAGCATGGTGCACATTGGTGCCTAGGCATTCACCGAGTTTTAATCTCGAGTGAAGCCATCAGATTTTATTTTTGACCGCTTGAAGACATCAATTACAGGTTGTCTTTCACCCATTTTAGAGCACCATTCACAACGGACCTGCAAATATCACATCTTTACCGATCAGTGCCACTGATGAACAATGAAGGAAAAAAAAAAAGGCGTTGATGATTAAAGGTTCATCTCCAGAACACAACAGAACACAATTAAAGTTAAGAGGGCAGAGAAATTCAAAAAGAGGGCGCAAGAGATTGATGAATGATAAATCTAACTTCAAGTTTTAGCTTGCAAAAGCATGTAAATGATCCTATCCAATTGCAATTTTCGAGTCAAAAAATTTTCCAATTGTACCAGCCATGGCCAGTAAACTGCAAGGTCGTGTTTGCAATGAAATGGCTCTTCCGTAGTTATTACATGAAATAAAATAGGAGTATGGCAACGTAGGAACAGGGATGGTTAAGTTCTTTAGTCAGTTGAAATAGGGAAGAAAAAACTAAAATTTAGCCAACTCCCTTCTTTCCTGCTATCCCTTTATTTTACTTTTATTTTCATGCAACGGCCATGGAACAACCATTCCATTGAACCAAATGTCACTTAAGGTGTCTAGCATAGATAATAAAGCAACTAATTAAAAATTTTAATGGAGGAAGAAGAAGTATTACCCTGCCAAATCTTTTAACTGCTTCCACAAGTCATTCTGATCTCTTGATTCTTCAGTTTTCTCTGTAATCCTATCCACCTGACGTTCTGAAGTTGGAGCTGCAAACATAAAACACACATGATCCTTACAATCAGTGCTTCTTGTAATTACCAAAACTAACTGCAGAGTTTATATTTTCAGTGACAATGCTATGCTGAGTTTCAGAAAGATGACGATGATGATGAATATAAAAGAATTTTTTTTTTTAGTTATTTTCAAGCACACAAATAAAACTGCAATAAGGCACTGAGTATGAAAATAGTAATTCATTAACAAAAATAACAAACAAGCAGAAAACTGATTTGCAAAGGGCAAAGCGATAGCTTACTGGCTGGAGCCCTGGCTCGAGCTGGTGAGCGGCTGCCAGGAGTTTTACTCAGAGATGCAAGTTCCTCAAGTAACTCCCGCTCTTTGGCACTGATATAAGTAAGCAAAGCAATATAATTAAATGTAGGTAAGTGAAACTGTTAACTACCAAGTCCAAGTGAGCATTGGAAAATTAGAGCTATGTGCAAAGCAACAGTTCAATATAACCCAGAAGCTAGTTTTGAATTCCTTTCAGTATCAAAATTGACATAAAAAGAACAAGAACAACCAAATTTGTAATAATGTTTAGCAAAGTGTCAGAAAGTCTACAAGTAGTTGCAAAAGACATTAACATAAAATAGAAGATCATCTCCAGAACAAGTAGAAACATATTCCAACGCCAGATATTTACAAGGCACAAACATAGAGTTTACCTGTTAACCAATGCATATTAGTTCAACTATTAGTGGAATTATTTAAAACAAAAAAACTGCTGCAAGAATGTTTTATTGAATAATTCTAACCAACCAAAAAGAATATTTTCTATTTTGATGGCCAGAAAAAAAAAAAAAAAAAAAAGAATATTATGAAGTTAGAAAAGGAAAAACTTATCCCTGTTAAGCCATAGAAATAAATATTGGGAAAACTTATTCAACAACAAAATATTCAGTGACTGGAATGCAGATCAACATAAGTTGGGTTCGATGACAAATATCTTCAGTATATAATAGCTAGACCTACCTCAATTTAGGTTCCTGAACCCTAGATTTTCAATGCAAGACACTATAGTTCAGCCATTTGCCTCAAAGCAATAAGCAAAGCAGTATGTCTTTACATTCATCTCATAAAGGTAGAGTATCAACCAAGATAGCATTGATCTAGTGATGTTTACATAACACATGGATAACAGATCCTAGTTTATCAGAAAAATGGGTATAAACATTAACCACTCCAACTCCCTCAAAATTGGAATACTAAAGCCCTTTTGTTCAACTTTCTTATTTAAAGGAAGAAAAAAAATACCACCTGAAAAGCATGAAACCTAGTTGAAAAGGCAAACATTTTACTTTTAAGATACCTAGCAGTTGCCCCAGTTGGAAATACTGTAATTTGACTAGTTCTTCTTGAGCTAAGAAACCTAAAAGCGTGAAAGAACATGTGGGAGTCTAACTCTAACTTGCAGGCTGAAAGAAGTGATTGATAAAACCAAAATAAAACAATGGATCTCGGGGAAACCTAAGAAAAGTTAAATGTCTAAAAAGCATAGGGCTACAAGCATCAATACTGGCATGACTCACACAGTTTAGCTATTGTGTGAAAATATAGCAAGACATACAGCTAAAAGAGAAACTGAAGATTGAAGACAATTCTATACCTTATTCGGTTTGGTATAGTAATTTTAATGGTGAATAAATGGTCACCACGTATAGATGGTCTGTTGAGCTTAGGTACACCCATCTTTGAGAGCACTAACACGTCCCCAGGTTGAGTGCCTGGTGGGATCTGTAGATCTGAAACCTCCTCAACTGTCTTCACCTGTTTCAGTGTCAAGTCATCAAGTAACAGTGTACAAATACTAGCGAGGGGGAGAGATGCATTCAGTGGCTAACAAAAATATATATAATCAAGATTTTAGCAAACCAAATCTTAGTCAGGAACAGGCGGAGAGGACATGATACTGCTGTCCATCTCACACTTCTCCCTAAAAAATTAATTAATAATAACAATAAAAGAATCCAACCAGAAAACCATAACAAAAGATTGAAATTTGTTTCCTTGTGGATGTACCATATGGCATACATACATGTTAAGAGGGCTGAGTGGATTGAGAAATTGGGATGGATTAGATTTAGACAACAAAACAATGACGGCAACGAGCACCAATAAGGAGATGGACAGAAATTTCAGTATTTAAAAAAAGGGGAGGGAGTGGAGAACAGTATCCTTAACCAGATAAGCAAACCTAAAAGCAGATGAATCTGACAAAAGAAACTGACAAATAAGTAGTAAGAAATAATTGCAGGTATACATGATTTTCAGTAATGGCAATCCTATGGTGGTTGCACGGTATATATAAAAATGCTAAAGCTCTTTCCTCAAAAAACTGTGTTTAATCAATAACAATCATTTAATTTAAAAAGCAAAGCATCAAGAATTTTGTGCAATAATCACAAACAGAACAAGGAAAATTTACCTTCACAACAGTCCCCAATATGGCGTCGACATAACTGATAGACACTGTTGACAAAAGATTAATGCCATCCCTTTGGATTCCTTTTACCTCTTCAACATCAAGATAAACATAAAGATCTCCTGGCGGGCCACTGTAGGAACCAGAAAAGTCAATTATTTTGATTAAGAACCATGAAAATAAGCATGAAATCTTCTGACTTAATGACTAGAAAGATCTTAAGCATTACACATCATGAGGGAACTGCAAAGTCCAAAAAGGAAACAATAGGCTCAAACATTTAACAGAAATATATCTAAATTTCACACGCTTTAAGCTTTTGAAACATAAGATTATCTTCATAGGGATATGAATCAGATGCACTCTCCCTAAAACACAAAAAGCATAATTCTTTAGAGAGAAATATTGAGAAATAGAAACTAACTGATCATATTGGCAATACCCAAAAAATTTAGTAGCAAACGAGATAGAATTTAAAGAAGAATGATAGAAATAACCTAGAGGAAAAATCTACAGGACAAAGTTATCAACTTATCATCTCCTCTAAACATTGATGTAGCATTAACAATGCAAGCAACCAGGTCTTTATAATTGTGATCTTCTTATCCTTGAGATTTTCTATTAAAGTGGTTGCTCTTATTATTTAAACCAATGCTCT